CGACAGGAACGTTCTTGGGTGGAGAGATTCATATTGGGCTTGAAGCGTACCCGTCTGGTCGGATGGGCGAGGCTGCTACGTTCGGACTTAGCAAGTCTTTGCGGGATGCTGGGTTCACGCTGGGTCGTTTGAAGACGGGGACACCCCCGCGGTTGGATAGGAAGACAATCAACTTTGCGCCGTTAGAGGTCCAGGAGGGTGATCACCCCCCGAGTCCGTTCTCTTATCTCAATGGCAGGGTTCAGGTCGACGACGAGGCCCAGCTTACTTGCTGGATGACCTACACTAATGACGATGTTCACGATATTGTCCGGGCGAACCTGGACAAGACTATTCACATCCGCGAGACCGTTAGGGGACCCAGATATTGCCCTTCGCTCGAGTCCAAGATCATCCGCTTCACCGATAAGAAGCGCCATCTGATCTGGCTTGAGCCAGAGGGATTCGCGCCCAACGACGTCATCTACCCCAATGGTATCTCTATGACCATTCCCGCCGACGCCCAGTATGCCATGCTGCGAAAGGTTCACGGTCTCGAGAACGTGACCATGCTTCAACCCGGCTACGGAGTCGAGTACGACTACATTGACCCGCGCAATCTCCGCCCCACGCTCGAAACGAAACTCATCAGCGGTCTCTATCTCGCTGGTCAAATCAACGGTACCACTGGCTACGAAGAAGCCGCCGGACAGGGTATCATCGCCGGTACCAACGCTGGATTATCCGCCCAAGGTCGGGAACCGCTCACTCTCCGCCGGTCCGACGCATTCATCGGCATCATGATCGACGACCTCATCACGAAGGGCGTCTCCGAGCCCTACCGCATGTTCACGACACGAAGCGAATACCGCATCACCACTCGCTCCGACAACGCCGACCTCCGTCTCACTCGGATGGCCCGCGAAGCCGGAATCGTCTCCGACAAGCGCTGGCGCCACTTCACGGAAACGGAAGCGCAGATTAACGAGCTCCAAACCCTCCTCGAAAACACCAAGATGTCCTCCTATGCTTGGGCCCGCAAGGGCTTCAAAGCCCGCATCGACCCCTCTCAACGCTCCGCCCTCGACCTCCTGTGTCTTAGCGAAAGCGACATCGACTCTCTCATCCCGCACATCGAATCCCCCACCGGCACCGTCTACTCCGCCGCTTCTTTCCCTCCGGAGATCCGCAACCGCGTCTCCATCGAAGGCCGTTACGCCCCCTTCGTGATCCGCCAGGAAAACGCAGCCAAGAAATCCCTCCGCGACGAGAACTTGTCTATCCCCGCTGATCTGGACTATGCTACTGTGAAAGGCATCAGCATCGAGGAAAAGCAGGCCCTGGAGCGCGTCCGTCCCGTCAATATCGGCATGGCGAGACGCATCGAGGGCGTTACTCCATCCGGTGTCCTGAGGGTGCTTATGCACGTACATAGGACCAGTCGGGATAGGACTGCTCCCGCATCGGAGGGGCTTGAGGAGACCCCTGATGATGTTATCAGCCAGGCGCCTTAATCTGATACATATTTGATCACGTGGTTATTGGGAAATGGTGTTGAACGACGACTATACTACATTATTGCATATCACAGCGAGACAGGCGAATTGAGTCGACTGGACTAGGCGTATCGGTGTCATTTCGAGGGTTGTATAAAAATTGAAAGATGGTTTGGTTTAGAGGCCTCTTATGTATATTATTATCATTATACCTTTCATCTTCTTCTTTTCGAGGCCTTTGTGTACTATATTTTTTGCCTTCTGGGTCTCGGATACATGCATATACCGATTCATCTCTCTTCTTGTTTATCTGCTATGGAGTAGGCGACCGGTAGAATCATATGGCTGGTGGTGAGATTGGACATTTTAGTCTTGTATCCAGACCTGTGAAGATTGAAACGAGTAATATTTTGTATAATGTATGCTGGTAGAGCAACTGACATACTATAGGAGTTATGTAATATTCAACAACTTATATAGGCTTGGTAACTAGTGTAGAGTTTTAACTACTTAACTATCTTTTACTAATTTTGACTGCTGGTAACTATTTACGACCGTTGGTAAACTTTTAGAACCTCTGACCAAATTTGAAACTGCGTTCTAAGTTGCACACCACTTGGGTCACTTTATGATATATGTACTTCTTCGATCATGATGATACTGAGATGATTGTGACATACAGTACTAGTAGTAGTGGAGGGTGGAGGGTGGTTCAGGTCAGATACTACTACTACCATCATCGGATATATATATTTACATCAGCTACACTCCAGCGACCGATGAAGTCGAACAACTAAGTAGTTTTGAATCCCACAACTGACCATACAATGCGAAAAAAAAACCCCGAAAACAACGCATAAAAATAACAATGCTCTATTTATATATACATACATGCATACATACACCTCCACACAGACTTCATCTATGATGCGACAACTATATGGACTGGGGGGTTAATCAAGGCTTCTTACCCGCCGCGGCGCGGGCAATGCGCTTCTGGACTTCTTCCTTGGAGAGGATTTTGACGGCGTCCCTGGAGAAGACGTAGCTCAGGCCGGACCAGAGGGTAGTTGCGGCGACGAGGTATCTTTTATTACCGTTAGTTAAATCTCATCATAAGTTTCTTCTGTAACTGATCGATGGAAAAAAAAATATTAAGGGGAAAAAATAAAAACATACAACAGAAGGGATTCGCTGGTGGTCACCCACCCAACTACTAACCTCCCGGCGTGTGGCTTAAGTACGGCTGAGCGGACGGGAAGCCCTGTTTTCCACACCCTGTGGTCGTATGTACCAGACATACACCAGAACGGGTTTACATAGGCCTCTTCCCGCTTTACGCGCACACACTTTTACAACAGTGACGGGGCAAGGGGAACAATGATAACTGGGGAATAAAAGGGCCACTTACTGGAATCCGGTCATTGCTTCCCTCAAGCTCCAAGCGTCGATGACCGTCTCGGGAAGTACAGGAAGCGCAATCGCACTACCCACTAGGAGCAGCTGCAAGGCCGTATTGATCTTGGACACCGTAGTGGGCTTCACTTCGGCCGAGGGGAGCGAGAAATCCCAGTACCGGGCCATGGTCTTGGGCGGTGGCAGGGATATCCATCGGTAGTAGATTGCGGAAATGGCTAGTCCGACATCCCGTCCCAGGATGATTACAGCGAGCCAGACTGGGTTTGTTAGCCAATTGAGCTAAAGGTTCGTCGTTGCTTTGTGCCCTGGGGACACAACGTACCTGGGATGGACCCGTTCACGGCCAGGCAGGTGACTCCGATGGTCATGAGCAGCTTGTCAGCCATCGGGTCGATGATCGTTCCGACAACGGTTTGCAAATTCCATCGCCGTGCGATGTAGCCGTCCACAAGATCTGTGATACCAGCGTATGCGAACAGACTGAGTGCGGCTACGTGGTGGTCGTGGACGAGAAAGTATCCTACCATAGGCGCCGCAAGTAGACGGGTGAACGTGAGAATGTTGGGGACAGTGTAGATATTCTCATGAGTCCGAGGCAGCTTGGAGAGAATTGGCGACTTCTTGAGGCTGTTTTCAGAGATATCACACGGTTAGGACTCGGGAAGGACTGATAACAGAGCGCAGTCCTCGATAACCCAACACGTCTGACAGGTGCAATGGTGAGTGCTCACCTTGAAGAGTCTGGATCTGTTGGCTTTTGTGCGGAGTATCGCTTCTGTTGGCCAACACTTCGTACCGATTGCGACTCGATAGCGTAAAGGCCGACCTTCTTTCGTGATATGCTAAACCTTGATTTAGCGATTCATCCCAATGGCCACATTCAGCTGAATCGTACTTTGCCTGAGTCCTTGAGCGACTGCCCAGAGTAATCGCTGAGAAGCTGCGTGTTTCTGTTACCGACATCTGCCATCCTCGCTGGGAGAGGGGAGTGTTCACCAGCGGGGATGCGACTAGTCGAGCGCATTGCCTGGATGCCCGTAGGGGCATTGGCAACATTGCAATCGCTGTCATGATGAAGCCGATGAGTCGGTAGATGATAAAAAGATCCGGATGATGCTCGCGCGGTATCGCTCAGATATAGCGAATATTTGGTGAATGGTTCCCAACAGACAATGCTTTCCAGAAGCCCAGTAGATAGAATGAAGCCGGTTGATGCGATTTAATTGGTGCAGAGTACTAGCAAATAACAAAACTAGTCATGTCATAGAACAATATTGAACGTTCTGATCTTATGACCACGTGACGCAGGAGAAAAGTAGCCGAAAGGAAAGAAGGCGAGATCGTGGAAACGAAAGAACAAACCCTGCAACCAATACTCAATGGCGTCGCCTGTAACCAAGGGTCCGAGGCTTCTCAAGACTGGAATGAACGAAGTATACTACTGTCTGAACGGCGAGATTATCCGGCTTCCGCGAGACTCCTGGGCACGTGAGTCTCGGGTCAGGCGGCGATCAATCCAACTGACGGAGTAATTGCCATCCACGACGCCGGATGATGATGACTTGAGACGATAAAGCGCGAGAAGGACCGGACGTTCGACAGAAAGCGAAAGGGGGACGAGAAGGAGAGTATAGACCTCGGTCGAGACTCGCGATGGGAGAAAATGCCGACGGAGTTTTGGTTCCTCCGAGGTCATGTGACTGTATATAGACATGGCAGACTGGAGCTGCTATGAGAGAAAAAGTTCATGATAGCAAGGTTGACGGGCAGTACTCACTATAGAGACAAATACAGGGATGTACAAGTGTGTAAGTGCTTGTTGTGTACGAGTTGCTCAACTCGCTCAGCTATTATATTGTACAACGTCATACGAGGAATATTTCCGGGTAGGATTTGGCACCTAAGTTGTATCAATTTGGAGATGATTAGATATAGGAAAAGACCCACACCATCGTCAGTGATAATGCACATTCTCCACAGTTTCACTGAGACCGGGACCCCACTAACATGCTTGACATAACTGTGGATAGATAGAACTGTTCGAGCACTAATTCGCCCACCGCAATATTCACGCTTTGCCCATTGTTGTTCTAACCCCGAGAAATGTTAGGCAGTATGTTGAATGCAGGAAGGCTCATCCGCTGGAAGTTCGGATACAGGGGTTCCTTGAGTTTCCGCTGGCGTACACGCTTTGTATGCAGACTTGACAGGGTTGTCGAGTCCCCTGATTTCCTCTGACGGATCCTGGATTATTGGTCCAGAATCAGCCGATGGCACTTTCTGTCTCTTTCGCCTGAGACACCAGTATAACACAGCTGCTATCAGGCCGCACCCGACCACGGCTCCTACAACCGGTCCGGCAACCCACGCTTTTGAGGGATGAGATTGAGAATTTGGGCTAGGAGAAGAGGCAGCGGCCGTGGTAGAGGCCAAAGCAGTAGCCGTGGGGACGGTGGCAGTCCTTTTCTGGGTTTGCGACGTCGTCACTGCTGTTGGGAGCTTCTCAATACCTGCCGTAATCAATAAATTGTGGTAATTGATTTCCGAAGACCTCAACGTCGTATGACGTTTTGTATGCTTGGACGTGCTCGTCTGGGCGTCAGAATACCAGTAGCTCGCAAAAATCTCGCAGGATGCGCTTTGGGTTGAAGAAAAGATCCTGCAGGCCCTTGAGTCGATATTGCTAGTGTACTGCTGAGAGTTTTGTTCTGAGCCGCTTGAGCTGTGTATGTACGTTGAAGGCCCCATGGTAAACGTAGGGGGGAAGCTGACAGTCTCCAACGAGCAGTTAACGACCAGGCTATGGATACAGTTGGCCCCAATGGTAGTCCGGTCCTCCACAGTATCCACATTCACGATGCTTCCGGCCAGGAAACTGAATATACTGCTGTAAAACACGGCGTTTGCCTCAAAAACTTGAACATATGCTGTAGGAGGTGCTGTTGTGACCACTGTTGTCGTCGTCAGCTTGGTGGCTGACGTTGCCAGTGTGGGAAAGGCGATCATAAGAGCAGCGTATGCTGGATACATGATATACTCCACGCTCAGCAGTGGTTCGTATATGAGAGGGGGCTTGTAATATAGTCAGAACGCGCGATGGGTGGACGGCAGATGCTCATAGACCGTACAAGCTTTGGTGCAGCCCGTATGGGAACCTCCTAAAGCAAAAACGTGGTGCCTTTTGTAAAAGTGGTGCTCGAAGACGTGCTATATATGCTGAATTATATATGAATTGAGTGAGCCAAGGAGCAGAGCGAGGGGGAACAAATCGTGGGGAGGCGACAGTGGCTGATGAGCGAGGTGTCACGAAATACCCCTGATGGTGCTTGCACAGCTGGAAACCCCACTTGATAATCAAGGTTATCAACTCGACTACCTGGCAGAAGCTCAACATACCTACTGGTAATCCCAGATTCTGCATCCCCTGTAGGGCTTTGTAGACCAAAAAGCACCGAGCGTTGATGCGAGCCCCCCTCAGCCAGCAGGTCTTGAGTGCATACTAGTATGTGGCCCTTGTTGCGGTAATCGACCACTTTTAGATACATGTTTGGTGGACCAAGTCAGAGCAGCCATATTATTTAGAGACATTGATCCGATAGCAAAGTTTTAGCCTTGCTATTCCCGAAGCTTTCTGGACCAAAAGCAGGCTGTTGGACGTATGCAAAGACGAGAAGGGGAGGGGAGCGGGATCGGGATGTCACCCGCTAACTAGTCGAACTTCCTTCGCTGTCACCCCCAGACCTCACCCTTTTCACTGAGGATCAAGTATCTTGACAAGCACACCAGTCTTCTTCACAGATGACTTTGGTTATAAGATTCATATTCACCCAGCCATAATGTATATGCCGATATCAATATCCTCCTACCCCTTGCACCACTGAAGGGACCGTTGGATTTCCATGATGGCACCTTGTCTCACGCGAGTCGGGTCGATGGGAGTCTGTGTCACGCTTCTCTCAGTCTGCCTCGAAAAGCATTCATAATCTGTCTATGCGGATATCACCGGCGGGTCACCATCTTGACGACGAATGAACCGATCGAAGTCCGCGAGCCGATACCCATCCTATACAAGCAAGCCTCAGATAACGAAAGAGGCCTCTACAGAGTGAAAAAGATGGATTCAACTGGACAATAGGATCTGTCAATGGCTTCGCTTGCTCAGTACTATTCATATTCTGCTTGGGGCTCTCTATAACCGGGGTCTGCTTAGTGAAGTGAGGTTAATTCCTATATCCCCAGAATTATGTACCCTACAACCACAAGATGTCTTGCAACTATACGAACCTGTGAGCTAACCCTACGGTTGCTTTCATAATTCAGAATGCTAATCTATGAGTTCCAACTCCAGACCCGACCCGATCCTTTCGCATACAAAAGGTATCAGCCCAGCCGAACATTGATAGCCGTCAATCGCCTTCGCCTGCAACCGGAAAGTGACAAACTGCGAACTAGCCCCCTTTAATCGATCAACATTGTACCACACGCGAGCAATTATTGGTTGTGGTCGGTGCCATGATACATCCCCGCTGTATTCATCGGGTTTAGGGCTATGAATGGAAGCCTAGGATACAAGTAGAGGCGGAGATATATGCTGGACTCTGGGCTATTCAGAATCCTGTCGCATGCTGGTCACCACCGAGACAGATCTGGCTAGACAAGTGCATAGCCCTGCCTTCACTCAAGGAGTTTGACAATAATCGGACTTTTATTCAGGTGAAATATCCAAATAAGTTACAGTATCACAAGGAGTTTTATATGCCGGGGCTGTATCTAGTGCTTCTATGCCAGGTATCCCGCTACCAAATATCTCTATTTTCCATCGAGAGGCAGTTGATGATTGATATGACTCTAATATGCTTGATCTAGCTTGATATCATACCGTGTGCTGGCCCAGTCAAACCAAGCTGTAACCTATAGCCTACTTTGATATGTTCGCTTTTATCAAAACCAACCCTCCACCTGATTCTTCTACCCACATATCTAACGTCCTCCCACTGTATAAATAACATGACATTCATACTAAGACAGCTTACTACTTGCTGCTTCTATCAAAACGCCATAAAACAAATACCCATTAAACCCCAATGTCAACCTCCGCACCGCATCCCAACAAATATCACCAATAGCGAACAAGTATATACATATCAAACAGCACGTTACACAGAATACCCCCTTATCACAAAACATCAATCCAACACCTCTCGCCTAGCAAAAGAGAGACTCTAGACTGATCACTATCACCATGACACAAAACCACGAGCCCCTATACTCCAACAACCACAATAGCACAACAGAAGCCACAACCCAAGCAACAAGTCACACACCCGGTCCAGGAAGCTGAAACCGTACTTTCAGAGAGATGCAATGCCCAACGTCTCACAAAATTGTAGTCTATCAGTCTAAACATTCTATTCCATCCAGCAGACCTCTGCTTAGAGTCTGGATCATTGCCTTTAACCGTCTAATAACTACCACCAGCACCATAATTGACGTAGCAAACCCGCCACAAGCAAACCAGCATACGGCATACGGTATACCAACCAATGAAAGTAGAACACAAGTTTTGATAGCCTCGTTTCTGGTTTCTTCTCTTTTTGCTGATGTCCACCGCCATGTCCATGGCTATACTGGTGGGGTGTAATGATGGCTGAGACATCAGCCCTTACTAATGAATTGATTCGTATATGTCTTGGATGTTGGTGTGTGACTGGAATTGCGGTATTGTGTATACACGCTCGCTTTGGAGAATGTCCGTCGATAGATCTAATTCGTAATTGAGGTACGCGTTTGTTTCAGATAATGAAGTCAGGTGGCTAGGATAGTGGTAGTATGGTAGTTGGTTTCTGAGACATATGGAGTCTTTGGAAAAAGGAATAGTAGGTCTAGACTGTAGTTCAACTCGTAAGAGGCTTGATTGTGTGCTAGTTGGGTATCTATGCGTTTTTACTGATGGAATGGTACTCTACTTGATGAGAGAGTGGTATATATTGGTGAGCAAGAGAAGGTATCACGATTGAATAAATATGGTAAAGTACTTTCACCTTACTACTAGTAGTATACCACGCAAGTATACTACTTTCTTTAATCAGTAGTATTAACATACTACACATATACATAGACACCAATAAATACCATCCAGCAACATTATCACACTTTTATACATCTACACAAGTAGTGCTAGTATAGACCACTCACACCTCCCCAGCTACACTACCAGGAAAAGATATCCGACGCAACAAACGCAGAAGCGAGAAACTCTACTTCACCCATAGATCCCTCCCTTCCATCCAATCTGTACACTACTAATGGCGCAGTGCAGCGCACTGCACCGCACCTTACATCCCCTCCCGCTTTCCTCTCTCTCCTCCCCAAACCCAGTATTACCAGTGACACAAAAACACAAACACAAACCACCGCTCGTGTTGATACTCACACAACATGACCTAAGCACCCCAAAGAAGAAAACCCCCGATGATGTATCATTTATCCACCATCCATCCATCCATCCATCCATCCCATTGAATCCGAATCCTCACAAGATGGTACAGCATATTCCTTCCAGCAAGGGTATCCTATCCTATCCTATCCTATCCTTTCATTTCCCACCCTAGTCTATACTATACTATAATCAAGCAAGGTATCTAACCCCATAGACAATAGTCCAGAACTCTACATTAATTAGCCTGTGGCAAAGCGTATACCAGCACTAGCACGAGCATAGTACCGTACTCAGCCACATTCCTCATGCCTACCTGCCCAACATAGCAAAGCAGTATACGTACGTATGTCATCAGCCATCATGCCATGCCAACCCAGCCCCATATGTCTGTCTGTGCGGTACAGACAAAAAGGGAAAGGGAAAGGGAAGAATGTCGACAAAAGATCTCCTTCCCTCAAACTTTACTTGCCATGTGATTGACACAGCCATCAGACATACACATACGCATACATATACACATATACACACACGTTTCTTACATTCTACATTCTTGAGGGGGGAGATGGCAGATTGATGGAAACTATGTATTTATGGTTACTAGTACTTAGGTTAGGTATGTACATTCCTCGGGGAAGGGTCCCCGGCATCCTTTTCATCGGGGTGGCATGTATTGTATTTACTATTTACTTGGTACCATGATTGGTGGTGGGTAGTTTGGTAGATGAAGATACTACTAGTCTGGCAGGGTGGGTGCTAGGAAAAGTAAGATGGATATGGCTGGATCATAGTTAGGGTATACGTAAGTTAGACCGAACGTATAGTTAGCTAGTTAGCTAGTGTCAAGTTAAAGAATGGAAAGTGAAAGAAGAACCTTGCGTTTGCGTCTATTTTTCTGTCTTTTACCCATGGGGAAGGGAAGGGAAGGATGAAAGGGAAGAAAGAAAACGGCTCTACCGTGTCTCATCGCAATGTACGCCGTAGGTAGGTAGGTAATACGTACATAGTATGTAGGACGTGCATAATACCAGACGATGCGATCTGATCTCATCTGCCGTGTGTATGTCTCTGGGGGTTATGTGTGGGTGGATTGATGATGATGGATCGATCGGGTTGGGTATCCACACAGGCAACGCAACCAGATCTACCCATCTATACCTAATCTACCTTGGCAGGTTAAGGCAAGGGTTGAAAGGCTCTTTGCAGTGTAGATCTAACCGAACTTACCTATACTACTATACCAAGTAAAACCAACTGTCACTTCTTGATTCGTCAGCGTATATCTTGACCACCCAGTAACAATCTCAATCCCCCCAGGGTAAAGCAAAATAAGATGTAAGAGTCGAAGTTGGTAGTAGATGATATGTCCGATCTCATTCCATCTTCCCTTCCCACCCCACACACACACGCATCCATTCTGTCTCTGTCTCGGGTCTGAAGAAACCGCCACCTCAAAAAAAGGAAAGTAGAAAATGAAAATAATCCCGACCATATCCCGGCTGGGGTTTACTTACCGATTTTACCCCTTGCATTGCTTTTTTCCTTTTCATGAGCCACGCTATCTACTTAGTATCTTCAACAGCGATAGTAAGAAAAAAAAAAATAAAATAAACCTGATAACATGTAGGATTGACCTCGCTTAGCTGGGCATCTTGCATATACCATATGCATATAGTCTACCGTCTGTCTGTCGAATCTGCACCCAACCTGATTACCGAAGAAAGCCGTGAAACCTGAACCTTCGTTAGTTGCCGCTTTCTATAGCCGGGCTGTGTAAGCACTGTAGTGATAGTTAGTTAGTTAGTTAGCCGAAGAATGTCCGTGCATTTGGTATAGTATACATATGTAGCCAAAATTTTGTGGGAGGAATTGTCTGTGTGTTGCCTTGCCGTCGCGGAATTCTCATTTGGAATAAAAAATAATGAATTGACCATATTTGCGTCAAAAAGTGGTCCCGGATAAGTATGTTGGTTTCTTTCCTGGAATTATCGGTTGCGGTTAGTACTAGTAAGTAGTAGCTAGCTATCCAACCACATACATGAATCATTACTACTAATCGGCGAATATCCACCAGAACCAAGGAAGGCAGGTAAGTAAGTAGATAGTACTGAGTCTATTGACAAAAACAAGTCATTAGCCACAGACAACTGACTAAGTATCTCCTAGACGAAACTTGGAATTCTGCACCATACTGTACCAGGCAGGAGTCTTCAGCCTCTCTCATTTTTCTCACCCTCCCGAAACCCGGGCCCGAGATGCTAGGCAGTCCAGTTAGTATCTGCAGGATGCATTTCCAAGATGAGTGTGAGTATGTCAGAAGACTCATAAAGAAAGAGAGAAGGATTTCTTCAGCTGAGCCTCCTCCTTCTGCTCTTCCCTCTTCTTCTCTGGCCATCATTATCTGCAAATGCGAGCGAGCGGGGCAAGAAGAGTGTTGGCACTTGCCGGGAGGGAAGTAGTGATGTATGCTAACTAACTAGTTAGAAGTAAGTTAGTTTGGTCACTTCGTTGTCTGAATAACTAGTTAGATGATTAGTAGTTGGTTATCTTGTAAGTAGTAATGCAAGTAAGTAATTAGTAGAGCCGCGGTCAACACGACGATACTAACTACTACCACTACTTACTG